TCGTCCGCTACTAAGAAGGCCCTGGGGTGGGACCCAGTGGAGTGGGAGGGTGCCCCTGCCTCCATACCCACAACAACCCTGCTCCCTAGTAGTCTGGGAGGCGTACCTCTTGAACTAGGCCTCTACACCATAGTTACCCTAGTAGAGGGAACTGTGTTTGGGAGTAGACCTCTGGGCCATATATACCCTACCAGTGAGGACTGAGTTTGTGACTAGGTCTCTAGGCCATATATACCCTGATAGAGGGAACTGTGTTTTGGATTAGGCCTCTGGGCCATATATACCCTGCTAGGGGGAACTGTGTGTGTGACTAGGCCTCAGGGCCGTATATACCCAGAAAGAGGGTACTATGCTCTGAACTAGGCCTCCAGGCCATATAGACTCTGATAGAGAGACATTTGCTAGGAACTGACCCTACGGGCTATGTTTGCCCTGCCAAAAGGGAGCACTGACCCAAACTTTGGGGACTTCCAGACTGTCGAGGGGGCTTGCCCTTCGACAGCCCACAATTACGGTAATTGGTATTTTTAAGACATATATAATTCTAACACAATGTAAGAAATATTGTATTGGGCAAAAAAAGAAAAAAGCTGAGCAAAAAGGGAAGTACTAAATTTCATTCTAAATCACTAAGTTGCACCACATGCCTCGCTCAGGAAACTGAACGAAGCCATTTCCGTTGTACTTTCCAGAAAAGACATAACAAAGACATTACCTGATCTCATAAGACTGACCAATGCTGAGAAGCTGCCCTGATGTCATGATCTCTGTATCCCATCCAACCTAGTGTAAGGAAGTTACTTTTTTGATAGGACTGGACAAGGACTGGTTGCCAGACATGACACAGAGAAATTCTATGTCCATATAACAGATTATCATTCAGAAAACATCCCAAAAAGATTGGATCATTCCCCAGAGAGAGAGGAAACTAAAGGTAAGTGTTTGCCAGATGGGTTTTTTGCTGTTGATTGTTTTCTCTCTCTCTCCAATTAATATACCCCATGTCATCTCCAGCCACTCCCAGTCGATAAATGGCTGACAGTTCCTTCCAATGCCTTCTGCTCCTCTCTCTGTCTCTTTCTTTCAATCGCTCTCTCTCTCTCTCTCTCATCAAGTCCCTACCCATCAGGCTTTCTCCCCTTCTCTTCCTGTCCCTAGCATCCCCTAAGACAATAATCTCCCTGGATACTTCTCAATCACACCACTGGGATCTAACTGCTCCAGGTCATGAGGCAGAGGGGCTGGAAAGGTCAGTGAAGCATAGGGCTGGGGATAACCACGTCTCTGAATCCCCTCTGTCTACTCTCTGCTAACAGGTGTACACATGCAGTGGGTTTCAGAGGGAGATGCAACCTATCACAGAGACCTGAGGTTTCAGGATGACTGAGACGATCACAATGTTCATGCCTCCCACAGAGACCAGCTTTAATTATGCTGATAAAAATAACAGGAATGAATGCTCCAGAGATGGTTTCACTGACATCTCCATTAACAGTCTCTCTCTGCTCATCTGCCTCTTGGGGATGGTGGGGGATGGGACTGTCGTCTTCTTCCTCACCTTCCACATTAAGAGGAACACCTTCACCGTATACCTAGGTGTTGCTGACTTTGGTTTCCTTCTCTTCCTGGGTGTTTTCCTTACAATATGATGAATCATTTCCTTGGGTTTAGAATGGAGACCTTTTCTGTTCATGTACAATACCTTCTGGTATCTTCTAACATCCATCAGAACTGAGAGGTCTCTCTCCATCTTCTTTCCACTTTAGTGCCAATGCCACCACTCAAAGCCTTTGTCTGCCCTTGTGTGTGCTTTCCTCTGAGTTTTTTCCTCCCTGTTATTTGGACCAGGTCATTATTTTTGCGCTTTTAATTTGAATGACGTGTTCAGTGACAGTCACATCCATGACACAGACGGACAGACTGACTGGGAAGGCAATGGTACTTGGACAGCTCGGTCTGTAGGGTGGGTTATAGACCCGGCTGAAGACCAGGTCGTGGTGAGCTAGAGAAAATTGCAGGACTCTGGACAGTGAGTAGTGAGGACTTAAAGTGGGCAATGATAGAAGAGATTATTTGGGAAGTGGACCAAAGAGTGAGCAGCTGTGGACAGTAAAGACACTTTGCAGGCAATTGCTATTTACAGGGTCTCTAGGTCAAGACCCGAGGAATGAGTGGATCTGGCTCCCTCCGTACCTCCCAGTAGCTACTCAAAGGGGAAGGAAAGAGGGCTGGTAAAAGACAACTGAGAAGAAAGGTCATCTGGGATTCTCCACTCCCAGAGCCTATCACACAAATGGGAGCTCATGGATACACATCCTTTGGCCAAAAGGGGGCACTCATGAGAGGATGAGCCAGTGACATGAGCCAAGAAAACTCTATGCTGTTCCCCTACTCGCTGTCCTCTTGCTCTTTGTCTTTGCTGTTCCCCTCAGCATTCAGAACCTCATGCTGCATTTTAATTACTTGTTTCTCTCCACTGAGACGTATTTCATGCTGCCCTCACCAAACAGGAAATATAACTGTGTTGACGGTCATTGGGAGCTACAAGAAATGGTGATTCAGGGGAAGGGTCTGTACAGAAAAGGCAGACATCAGTGAGGATGGAGAGACCCTCAGAGCAGACCCAAGAGAGAAAGCTGCTTACTTACTGTTTGCTAAGTTTCTATCTACACCCACCATATCACAACCCTTTTCTAGCATGGATCCCCAGGGTTCACTGCAGTTCTGAAAACACAAATGTTTCAGATGAGGCCCAATTCTGCTCCCTTTAGAATCAGTGGGGAAAGTCCTATTGATTTCAAGTGGGGCAGAAATACTCCCATCACAGTCCCATTTACATTGTTTTAGAAATGCCATTGATAAGGAATTTCAGTTTTGTCAGCAAGTTTTCCCCAACATTTCTGGCTCAATGCTACCGTCTCTTCCGTAAAAGCCTTCTGACCCCAGCAGCCTTAACATTTTTCCTGTAAATTCCAGGTAAAGCTACCTGAGTAGGAGACAAGGTTAATGGCAGGTAATAAAAACCATGGAGAAATAGCCCCATGTAAATCATTCCACACCCAGCTACTGTGCATGAAATACAGGCAGATGTTCCATGCAGCTCCGGGTTCTGGCTTATGCACAGTGATATATGAAACTTTCACCTCTCTTCCACTTGAAAAATGCAAGTGACTATCAACTAAGTATAGAGCTGATGGGCCCTGGTCATTGACAGGAGGAATTGCAGCTTGGACCTCTGGGGCTAAAGCCATGGGTCTCTATCGCAAGACCTAAAAGTCAACACCCTCTCAGCTGAGGCTGTAGAGCAGAATTTACTCTCTGTCAGTGCCTCTGGGCTACAGAAGCAAGGAGTTTACTCTCTTCTAATAATAATGCCTAGACCATACACTTCCCAAAAGTCACCTTTGTACCTCCCCACTGTTCACTTATCTGCGGTATCTTCCTGTCTGCTGACCCTCGTGTTAACATGTAAAAACACTGTCTCACGCACACTGTGTGTGGCTTCTCCTTGTCTCTTGCCCTGAACAGCAGACATACACCAATGCTCGAGCTCCAGAAAGATCAGACCATTTCTCTGGGTGTTCAGGGCATTTTCAGAAAGGTAGCTTTGGGGGCAAATCCACTGGGGCTGTAGGACATTCGGGCCCAGTGCAAATGAGCAGATTACAGGTGCTGATCAAGGAAAGGGCTAAAATTGGCGGAAGGCTGAACAGCTTCTCTTTCCTGTGTGTCTAGTCAGGCTGGGCTGCTCCCTTTCAGTCAAGGAGATGGCTACACAACAGGTTCCAGTTGAGCTACTTACCTCAGAGGAACACATCCACTGCACCAGACACACCAACAGCTGTCCTGGGCACTGCTCTGCATACTGGTTATAAAGGGCCCAGACACACAGAGGAATTCCTGACAGATAGAGGTAGAGACTGAGGTGGAGGTGGATGGCTGTGCAATTAGGGGGTATTTGCAGGAAACATAAGAATCGTGTGAGACTAAAATAGTGTGGGAACCATCCCTGACTTACTAGTAAGAGAGACAGTTACTAAGATTTGCCCCCTTGGCATTTCTCGGTATTATACTATCTTAGTAGTTTGAAAAATAAATGTACGTAACGCTCTAAACCTTAAAATACACCCTTTTATTAAACTTTCGTTGAATCACTTAATCAATTTAGACTGTTCTTATCACAAAGCTCCTCATTTCCTTGCTCTGTGACTCTATGGAGTCCGGACCCTCCTGATTCAGACCCAGACCCTACTGCATATAAACCAGATTATTTTTCTAGTGTGGTTTCGTTAAATGGATCCACAAGTCCCAAGCCATGTGTCTGAGACATCCCTGCTCCCACTGGGCTCAACTATGTAGGCTTCCTTCCACAGCGAGCTGGAGCTAGTCCACTGACCTCCTGGATACGTATTGAGGGGGCTAGCCTGAGCTGTCTCCCATACAACCAGGGCCACCTTGCTATTTTCACTGACTAGTTTGAATAGTATTTACCTGTCCATGCTGGAACCGACCCTCCCAGCTGCTATGTAGATATACCCATTCAACTGAAGCTACATCTACACTACAGCCCAAATCAACGCTCTGAGATCGCTCCACCAGCGGTCAATTTAGCAAGTCTAGAGAAGACCTGCCCAATCAACCACAGATCACTCTCCCATCAATTCTGTTCTCTTCCGGGGTAGAGTAAGAGTAGGAGAAGTAAATGAGAGCATTTCTCCCATCGACACCCCCCTCTCGAATCCCCACCCCACCCAGGGCAACTCGACTTAACGTATGTCAGCTCCAGCTATCTTGTTCACATAGCTGGAGGTGCACAGCTTAAGTCAACTTTCTGCTGTAGCCTAAGGAACTAAAGGAAAATAAACCTCTCTGAACGAAACACCAATAGCCTTATGTCAACACTTTCACCTCAGCTCTGCCTATTGATCTCATCTCTTTTCCACAAGTAAATTGCAACAAGAAAACAAACACCAAAGAACCTGGCAGCATGAAGAAGCACATTTCCAGTCAAGAGAAACTGTGGTATGGAAGAGGAACTGGAGATGTGCATAGTAAGGAAAATCATCTGTCTCATGACCATAAAGTGAATGTCATGGGGCCCACATACTGCTAGGGGAACTTCCAGTCACTCTAGGGATCAACTCTTTCCAGGTACTTACCATACTGTCTCTTCCTCCATCTTGTCCCATCCTGCAGCCCCTTCTCAAAACAGCAGATTCCTCTTCATGACTTAGTCTTCCAGCCAGGTCCCTGTAATCCTCCCCTTCCAGGGCATCAAAGTCTTCCAAGCTGAACTGTACCAGGCTGTCCACATGCCCCTGTCTGCCTGCACCACTTCCACAGAAGCTGGTAGGGAACCCGGGTTCACCCTCTGCTCCAGGTTTCAGCCCAGCGGCCTGCTCATGAGCAGCCAAAGTCTACACTATTCTCACCCTTGCTGCTTTCCTCTTCAGTCCTTCCCATATTTCTGGTTCTCTCACCTCTCTGGCTTTGCCAGCTGAAACTCCCTCCTCCTAGGGAATGATTGTTGCATACTTACCACTAGAGCCCCAAACACACCTCCGTCCTTCACCTAACAAGTGACTTTGAACTAACCAGAGTTCAAAGGCCTGCTCCCCTCTCTACCCAACCCTGTATCACACAGTGCTCATGGTGCCGGTGCTTTCACATTGTGGCCATCAGCATGTAGGATAGCGCCTCCACTCTAGCATCCTTCTCATATATTTCTTGATTAACCTAAATCCATTGCATTACCCTTGATCACTGCTTGATTTGTGTACTTCTAGGATTATTTGACTATTATAATGATATGTATGTATTTAAAATATTTTACCTCACCTCTCTTTAAATTATTCAAGAAGGCTTTTAGACACAGTAGGATCCCAATGATCATACTTAGTACTGAAGCACATAATGAATAAAGTTGTTTACCTATATAGATTGTTGTAAGTATTACTTCTTTTAGGTCAATTTGCATTTTGGGGTTCCAGTTCTGTTTGGGCAAATACAATCAAGTGACCATTCTATGGTTAATGTCTGTACATTATTTCTTCTCTTTTCTACCCTGTCAAAATGCTTTGTATCAATCTCTCTTTATTAATCTAGATAGATTTGTAGTAAAAATCACAAATATTTACTGCCACATTAAGTTGAATTAAATATTCCCAGGCAAAAATATAGCTTTGGATATGTATCGAATGTATATTATTTGCCTAGAAATCATGGTGGTGGGAATTTTTAACACATATATAATTGTAACAAAATGTAACAAACATTTTATTTGGCAAAAAAGCCCTGAACAATAAGACAAGTTCTAAATGTCATGCTACGTAACTAAATTCTTTACAACCTAAACGTACCAGTTGCTTCTCTCAGATAATAGCAGTTTTCTGTGATAGGGATCTGTTGAGAAATAGCCGTTAGTAAGCCATTTCTGTTATGCTTCGTAGAAAATAAGTAACAAAGACATTATAACACTGACCTATGCTCACAAACTGCCCTGATGTTATGATCTCTTTAACCCAAGATACCCAATACAAAGACATTTCTTCGATCGTACTTGACAAGGACTGCTTGTTGGACACAACACAGGGAAATTGTGTGTCCATATAACAGATTATAATTCAGAAAAGAAGATGGATTCATTCCCCAGGGATTAGAGGAAAGTAAAGGTAAGTGTTTGCTAGATGAATTCTTTGTTGTTGATTGCTTTGTCTCTTCATATTCCCCATGTCAATTCCTACCACTCCCAGTCCATAAATGCAGAAGAGTTCCTCCCAACCTCTCTCTTTCTCTCGGCTGCTTCTTGCCCATCAGGCTTTCTCCCCATCTCTTTCTGTCCGTAGCATCCCCCAGCACTCTAATTTCTCTGTATATTTCTCAGTCACGCCGAGTGGGATCTGGCTGTTCTGAGCCAGGAAGAAGCAGAGGGGCTAAAATGGTCAGTGAAGCACAGTCTGGGAATTTCTCAGACACAAGTGGCTTTTTTTTAATCTGTCTCATGACAGCTTTAGAAAGCTATTTCCATTATGCTTAGCAGATCAGAAGCAATCACAGTGAGCAGAGACCTGATACTTTCTGATATTACAAAACTCCCCAATGCTCACGTAAAACCTCTGATCTCTGTGTATCTCCATGTCCAGAGTACTGCAGGCATCTCTCAGGTGGGATCCAGCAGGGACAGGCTGCCAGGAGCCGACAGGGAAAATTTTAGTATCCTGATAAAGATTATTCCTCAAATCAATTTTGGAAAAAGACTCTACAGGGAGAATCTCAATTAGTGACTGACTGACCCTGAGGCTACATCTAGACTGCAGGCTTCTTTCAGAAGAAGTCTTTCCGGAAGAGATCTTCCGTAAAAAAACTTCCGAAAGAGCGCGTCCACACTGCCAATGTGCATGGGAAAAGTGATCTGCTTTTTCAAAAGAAAGCGACCACACTGATTGGACGCTCTCTCACACAAAAAGCCACCCAGAACCACGTCAGGCAGGGCTTTAGGTCACCAGTTGCTTCCGAGTGCTGGTGCCGGAGCCATGCAGAGACACGTGCTTAAAGGGACCCCCCTGAACAGCAGTTCCTCTGCTTCTGCTGCCTGCTTGCCTATCTCCTCGAGGGACAACAAAGCTCTCGCAGTGCCTGCTGTGGTTGCCCTGCTTTTTTGGATACCACAGCTTTTCTCTTGGGGCCATGGAGCCGGAGCTGCCCCGGGCATGCAATGGCCCCACATGGTCGTGCTGCAGTTTCTGCAGCACTTTGTGCCAGCTGCCTTCCTGGTCCTGCACTAGCTCGACCCCGAGCTCATTCTTGGGACCCTCTCACCGGGTGCGGGAGCTACTCTCTTGCAACTGCCCCTCACAGTGGAGAGGTGTTTTTGGAGGCTCGACACCAGTTCCAACGGGTGAGACCAGCTGGTCATGGAGCGACGGGACGACCAGCTGTGGATCCAAAACTTCCACATGCAGAAGGCCATCTTTTTGGAGCTATGTGCCTGGCTCACCCCCACCCTCCGATGATGCAACACCCACCTGTGACCCACCCCCTGGGGAAGTGGGTCGCAACAATCATCTGGAAGCTCGCCACCCCCAACAGCTACCGGTCGGTGGGCAACCAGTTCGGCGTGGGGAAGTCCACAGTCGGGGCCCTCCTCATGAAGATAAGGCACTCTCAGGCTGCAGTCCCTGCACGGGGAAGGGGAGAGTCCTGGAAAAGGGGGACCCTCAAGAAAGAGAGGGTGGGGACGGAGCTTCTCTCCCAAGGAATTGTGCCATCTTGCCCTCACACCTCATAGCGCTCCTGGGGTGTTTGCGGGGGGGGGACGGAATGGGAGAGGGACGAACAGCTGTGGAGAACACAGAGCGCGGTCAATCATCCATGCGACCAACAGTCCTCGGGGCAGAGGAGGGGGATGTCCCAGGAGCAAGGCCTTGTGTGGCCTGCACAGCAGGTCCTGCCTCATAGGGACCCTGAGGTGCCCAGGGGACCATGCTGCCTGCTTCCCCCTAACCCTCCCCCAGCCCATGGCCCAGCAGGCAAGGGAAGTGTCCAGTGGGCAGCAGAGGAGCTGGGAGCCGCCTGGCTCTCCTGGGGCCCGCACACCCCCCCTGCGGCTCGCAGCGCTGTCCGTGGG